GTCTATTTAAATGTGCTTTTTGCTTTGTAAATTTAGGCATGATTAATTGGTAAATTTCAAAAAAGAGTTAGATTTTTGAACAAAAAAAACGCGTTAATTGAATTGATATTCAATCACGTGATGTGTATAACATGGAATTAAAGTTAATTCCAGCCAAATTTAGCAATTTTGGCAAGATTTATGGTGGACAAATTGAGGTCAAACATAGAATAATGATAATTTTTAAAAGCTCATAGCTCTATCTAGAATGTGATTTTTAAAAAAACTCATCATTTTTTGTTAATTCAAGCTTCAAACTAACTGTCTATGAAGAGCTTTTTGATTTATTTTATCTGCTAACATACTAGATAGAATTAGAAATTTTCATGTAAAAGTTGCCAGGATTAGACTAGACACACCATATTATGATATGAAAGAGAGAAAAAAGAAAATTGGTGAACATTTTATAAGATGTAATGATATTGTATTAGTAGGATGATATATTAATGAGCCCAAATACCAATTAGTTCGAAACTTCTATAAGAAAATAGCAGATCATTCAAAAACATACTATGAGGATGTTACATTTACTGCAATTACTCCTGATAAATTCCAGATCCAAAGCAGTTTAAAAATCCAAAAAGACATACAGTATTTATTTTTGAGGATGTGTGTACTAAACCCCAGTCAATTCAAGATCTTATCATCCTATTTTTTATTAGAGGTTGCCATAGCAATATCTCTGCTATTTATATTTCACATAAATTCACTCAAGTTCCAAAAATCATTTGTAAAAATGCAATGCATCTTGCACTATTCAATGGCAGGGAATCCACAGAAGATATTGCAAGAATTATAAGACAATACATAGAGGAAGATCCACATAAAGCTTCTAAAATCATCAATAAATATTTGTGGAATGGAGAGTTTATAGTTTTTGTACCAATTTCTGATCCTATGTCCATTAGAATCGATCTGCCATGGGATGAAGGTTACCCTGATTCCACCATTGGACATGGTACTTTTCTAACTTGTCCATACTTATGAACGTAATAATAATAAAAACAGCTTGTTAAAAAGCAAGAAGATTATCAAGTACCTTTGTTTAACATTTTCAGACAGTTACCTTACACTTTCAGACTTTTCAGGAAATTTGACAGTAACATTGCTACAATAATAATTAAGAATAACTCATTAGAAAAAAATTAGGAAAAGAAAATTATAGACTTGTATATATTATTCACCTTGAGGTATCACTTGTAACAGAACTTGCTGTTTATAATAATAAGAAAATAAGGTATCAAGATACCATTGCTGGGATTTTGAGGTGAGATAAGTGAAATAAGAAAACATGCTGACCTTTTGAAGTTGAGTATGAGCTGGATTCATTATCACACTCTGTCTTTTTTTCCATTTTTACTACTATATAGTATAATAAGAATGTTAAAACCAGTTTTTTGTGCCATCTGTGATCTGCCAATCAATTACTATAAACTTACCACCAACTTTCCACTTAAATTCTTCGTCCCAAAGAGTTGTCATAGAGTAAATACAACAAAAAAAGATTCAGTGTTCAAATCCTAAAAATTAAGGGGCAGGTCATTTTGCCAGAAATTTTTGCTGATCGGCATTGAAATTTTACTAATAAAATTTCGAAATGAATGTCTTCAGGCCCCCGTTTTATACCCTTGTTTTGCATCAATTGTCACCAAATTCTTCACGTTGTTTATTTATAGTGTTCTTTATTTTGTAGAAAAATTTCAAGTAGGGTTAATAAGGTAGCAGAAAAGAATCAAGGCTTCAAAGTTTTTTTTTCCTTATGTGACAGTAGAGGTTGAAGACTGGATTCAATGCCTTGCAAGTAAACTTGTTAATTTAGCAAAGTATTTTAAACATTACAATTATATTTAAAACTATAAATAGTTTGTAAAATAAATTATTATATTTTTTCTTTATTATTGATATTTGTTGTTTATAATACTTGTTAGATTAATTATTTATAATTGATTATATTTCCTTGTTAGATTAATTATTTATAATTGATTATATTTCCTTGTTAGATTAATTATTTATAATTGATTATTATCCTTTTATATATTTGATTCTTTCATTATATATATAAAGAATTACAATTTGATAATTGTTATAAAGGCATGAATTAGGATAGAGAATTTTCTGTAATTCATAATTAAACATAAATAAAATAATATTCTATTAAAACATATCATTATATCAGAATAACCTTTTTATTATAATAATAAATTTAAAATAACATTATGTACTTAGAATCAGAAAATGAGGAGAATGATAATATTATTTTAAATGATAATGATATGATTGTGAAGCCCTTAAATATCGTATAAAAATATTTTTTTGCAAGATATGTATTATAATGATACAAGTGATGATGAAGATCCCTTACCGGTTCAATCTTTAGAATTCACAGTAAATAATAATCAAGAACAGAATAATGATTATTCAACATGTATATTGGTGGATTTGGTGGATGGAAAAATTCAGACATGTGGGCATAGTTAACAAATTAGACCTCTCAATCATCTAATTGGAATGTGGCAGTTAGATAGAGAAATTGTCAAAAAAACTGAAGAAGAGGGAAAAAAATTAGGAATCTGTATGCAACATTTCAATGTTGATCAAAAATATCATAAAAATAAATTGAAAACTACAATACCTGTAATTGGTGATGACTATATTAAAAGCCAGTGCTTCTTCTGTAGCGTGTTTTTTTCTTTTGCCATAGTGGAAGTTGCAGTTCACATTCTTGGAACATTTTAGATAAAAATGTCCAGGTTCCTTGTAATGAACAAATAACCTGTCATGCATTAAATAACTTTGGTGTGATTTGCAAACCAGAAGTTGGTATAGTTACTAAAGCTCAATATATATGCTGTGAATGTTACCAAAATCATGGAGGGCATTTACATGTGAAAATGGGATCTGGAAAATCACTATTTGATTGTGAAAAATTTGGTTTACATAACAGTGACCATTCCACTTCCTTTGATCTTCTAGGTAAATGACTTTTAACAATTGCTAAATCTGAAATACAGAATATAAAGAAAAGGTATTAACAAATATTTTGAATCCTGCATTTCAAATAATTAAAGAAACACAAGAAATGGAAGCAAAAAATTCAAGTTCAAAAGCAGTAATAGAAATATTAACAATATCTGACCTGTTATATACAAAAGTGCCAAGTCCTTTTGTACTAAAGGTTTTCCTGAAGATGTACAAAAAAAAATTAGAAGATACCAATTCTTTTTCATTAAATGAACAAAGCAAAACTTTTGGTCAAAATATGGCAAAAACTCTATGGAATTCACAAACTATGTTACTTGAACAAAAAAATAAAATAAAAATGCCTGATTCCTTGAATGAATATTATAATGCACTTGCTCCTTTCTTAACTTGTTTTTTGATGGAATTCTAACAGATATTTACAAGAAAAAATTAGAATTATCAAATATTAAATTACAACAAAAAAATAAACTACCAAAAGAGATAGATATATTGAGCATTAAAAAAATTATAACCTTTCTTGTTTCAATCATTGTGCATGTAGCATTTCCTAAGATAGAAGTATGGTTTCCACAAGTAATGGCAAGTCTTTCCTGAAGACCTAGACTCCTTGGTTCAATGAGAGATCTATTCTCAACTTTGCAAATTATGGCTCACACTAGTGGTAATGAGAGAAAATGAGAAATAGAAAGAATGAGTAGAATTCAACCAGAAATAAGATTAAAAAAATAATCCCAAAATTTGGAATTTGTCAATAATTGATGATAATATTGATTTCAAAGAAAAAAGCTTCACTTATTATAATATTTTTAATACTACTCACAATACATCCCATGCAACATTAAGAATGTGTTTTCAAATACCTCTTTCTTTTAATACTCAAGAAGGGCCAGAGGATATACCCCAAAATATTTCAGAAAAGATCTGTTTGGCATGAATAACATAGCAGAAAGTGCTATAAACCTTTTTGACAAATTGTTGGTTACATCATTACAGATGACAATAGAAAATGATGTCATTAAATATCAGAAAGATTTTGATGCTTCAACAATCTATCAAAAAATGATGAAGTGTGTTGAACATGAGTGTAATTATTCTCCAGGAACTCCAAATAAAGATGCTGGTGTCTTTGAATCTGTAGATATGTATTATAATGATTATGAAATAAATCAAGAAGATTACATAGATATTGTTGCAGATGAATCAATATTTACATAATTAGTCAAATATCAAAAAGAACATCCAAATGTAAGGTCATTGTTAGGAAAATGGCATACCTCCAAAGATATGTGTAGTGTATTAATTATGATATTCTCAAGTTATGGAATTTTTGACATTGGATCAACACTTGGTGTAAAATACTAGATAAATTGGAAAGTGTAGTTGACTATTGTTCTACAGTTAGGGTTCTTGAATTAATTCGGACTGCAGTGGGACTTTCAATAAATATCTGGTTAAAAAAAAAAATGGACAAAAATCAAATTCTTGATGGTGATTTCAACAAAAAAATGATCCTCAAAGTCTGGTTTCTCTATTATCAATGGGCATTTTTATTGCTCACAGAATTGGAATACATTGTGGAAACTTCAAATTACAGAAATATTGCTTAACTGCCTTTTCTCCTTTATTCCCTGCAGCTGGAAAGATGAATTACATGAAGTCTGTTGCACATTATCTTGCCATATTGTCCCAATATCCAAAACTTGAGGAAAAATTAAATGCTTGCAGCATCCATAAAAACATCTGAAGACAGAGCTGGACACCTCTTTGGATTTGATGAGGCACTTGAAACTCTAGGTGTTAAATTTATTAAAGGCTTTATAAATGGAAATGCAATTGATGAAGATAACATGAAATCACAAATAAGTGCTGCACAAACCAAACATGAGAGAATTGGTGTTCTTTTCTCTGAATATTTGAATGATACCACAACTCCTCATGGAACCAGAGCAATAAAGACACACAAAGAAACTATATGGGATTTATTTAATCATTTATTAGACACACTTAATGTTGCAGATAATAAAGCACTTGAATGCAATTTATGGAAAATAACAAAACCTTGTGCATTGAATCCTATTGGAATGCAACAACTTTTTGATTGCTATACAAATGGACATGAAAGAATGAATTTTATTTGTAACAAGAGGTCTTTGGGACTGAGAAAATTGAAAAGAAGGGAAGAAGAGCACTTAACATTACTAAAACAACAATGAAGAACATAAATGAAAATAAAAAAGCTGAAAAGAAGACACCTACTCAATTTTCAGATAATTCTTTACAAATCCAACCAGTTCAAATTATTAGATTGTTTTCTGAATCAAGTTATCTACAAACACAGACCCAACCTCATCTACATGGACCAGTAGAAAATGTTATAAAAAAAAGATCAAGATGTGTAACTACATTAGAAGCTAAAAATACATTACTTCTGTTGATTCAATTAATCCAACAAGGAGAAGAAATTTCAGAAGAAAAAATTTTAACTATATTACCTACTTTAAATATGAAAGCAGATTCAAGTAATATGTGGGATGCTGATAGAGTCAAGAATTATTTATCACAAAATCGCCCCAATAAAAAGTAACGAAATATGTTTTTCTTTAAACAAATTTTAAAGATTGTGTATGTATATTTTTTGAAAATTCTGTTAAGCCGTCTTATGGTACTAATGAAGTCTAAAGAACAAGGTTCGCTTTATTTTATTGACTATTGTAATCAGCATACAGCTGTCTTATTGAAAAGAATCAACGTTTTTTGTGTAACTCAAAAAAAGGCTTCATTGTAAACTAAAGGTGCCAAAATACTTCCTAAAAGAAACTTCTGGATTTGCACACTGACTGATAATGCTAAAACAGAAGTTCAAAATTTCAAACACAATGAAAAGCATCGGGAAACACTTGTTAGATCATGAAAATTTTAAAGCTTGCTATTCTGATAAAATTGAATTTGTAGAAAATCATCTTGAAATAATCAAACAAAAAGAATTGCAAAATATTTAACAATTTAATTAATAAAATTACTAGAATAATAGATGATTTTTTTTTTATATATATGTATATATATATATATATACATATTAATATATATATTTGATTAATTGTATTAAGTGATACTGGTATTATTAATATTGAAGATAATATTTTTCTACTTATTTAAACATGTAAGAAATGATTCTCCAACAAACCAATCAACATTAAATCATTATCTTGGTAGGCCTTTACAACCAAGTGAACAACAAATATTTGAAATGTTATTGTTAAGAATGACAGTCTCTAATGGCTAATCACTCTAATGGGTAGAAAATGAAGAAACAATTGCTTTCTTTAAATTTGTTTATCCATTAAAAATTTTAAATTTTTTTTTTACAAATTTTATGAATAAAAATAAAAAATTCCATTAGCTGAATTCCTTTAAATTCCAATGTAACCTTGTATTCCAGTGAAAAAGACTGGAACACCGGAACAATGGAACACATAATTCCAGATTCCGAATTCCATTACATAACAACACTGGGTGTGACTGAAAAAAGCCTAATTTCTAGCTTTTGTAAATGATCAAAGTCATCTTCGCAGGAACAGGAGAGACCGTTCTGGTAACATATAATTTTAACCCATGCGATTGTTGATCGACTAATCAAAATCGTGGTTCGAATTTAAAAAGTTGGAAGCAACCATGTGTTACCGGAATTAGGATTTCACGCTGATTTGTTGGTCGAAATACCCTAATTCCGAATCAAATCTTTTATTTCTATTTTAATTTATTTTTAATTTATTTTTATATTAATATCTACAGTACATTTATTTATTCCTTATATTTTCATTTCTTATTTTATTTTTTATTCATTTCTTTATTATTATTACATTTTTACTATATATTTTATTCGTATAACGTCAAAATTAGTTAACTTTATTTAGAAATTAGCGTCGCGGTTAGAATGATAAATTGCAATGAGGTTGTTACTAATTAATTTAATTGTATATAAGAAGCTCAAATTCGACATAAATTTGTAATAAGTTAACTAAGGAAAACTTTGTGTGAAAACTTTGTAATAACTTGTAAAAGTTTTATAATAAAGTTAACTTAGAAATAAGTTAATAGATTAGTTTCGACCAAATAAAACGTTTTTCTTTTTCTTAAATCACTAAAATTATTCGCTAATAAAACTAATTTGTTAGTAATAGCCAATCCACATAATCATAAATTCATATTGTTATCATCAATTAACACGCTCTCCCAAACAATAATTGGTGACAACTTGGTGCGAGTTGTGTGAAATTATACAAGTGATTCGATAAAACAGAAACCAAAATTATAATCTACAGATTTTCATACATATTTTTTTTACTTCTTTATTTTATTTCTTTATTCTTTACTTCATACCTTACAAGGATTAGGTGAATGAACTTTGACCAAGTGCAATTAAACACTAGGGGAACACGATCAGAGTCATCAGAGATATCAGAACATAAGAAATATATCACACATTCATCAAGACTTATCTTGTTCAAATTGTTACCCTCTTGAACACCACAATTCTTGATCTTTTGGGATTGGATACTGGAAACACATCGAGCGATAGATTGCACCTCAAATATTATAAGTGATGAGATGAGATTCCATCATTTTTTTGGATATTTATTTGCAAGATCTTAAATGCAAACATGGTAGAGTATTAGCTAGTGGTCTAGTGTTTACCATTACTAACTTGTAGTCATAGAATCAAACAAAAAAAATAAATAAATGGGTTTTTAGGTCAATAGTTCTCCTACATGTAAGAAAAAAAACTAGTGTATAAAGTTGTGTGGATCCCAGTGGATTCTTAAAAATATATATTCAAAAGAATTTTAAAAATTTTTTTTTCATTATCACGTTAACTCATTTGCAACAATATATGAATTGATTGACAAAAGTGTTCTAATTCGATTTCCATATTTGGAAATAGAATATGAAAACGCAATTTTTTATTTGCATTAATTCATTATTGATCGACATTATGTAATTAGGGCGTCTCGCCCCTATTTCTAAATTTTTCAATTAATAATAATAACAATAATAATGTTTAACGTTTATTCCACTATTATAATTTTTTTAATATATATTACACTTGTCAAATCTTATTCTCCCAAAACACGTTGTTTTCACACTTCAATTCGTAATGACACGAAGCTTTATTTTTTTGGTGGTTACAAGGAGGACTATTCAGTAGGCAGTGAGGCCTTTTATTTAGATCTAGGAGAGTCGTTTAGCAGGAGAACACCTAAATGGATAGAAAGATCAAAAGCAAATGTTGAACTAATGCATAGTTCTGTGTGTAAAACAGCCAGAAACTCATTTATATTCATTGGAGGAACTTACAAAAATGATCATAATCCAGAGAGAGAAAATCCACTTATTGAATATAACCATGAATATGATATATGGCTTTTACCTTATACTGAAGAACCTTTTGATTGGCGAATAAATACTCAATGTGTTTCGGATAATAAAGGAACCGCTTATATTTTTAGTGGATATACCCAATTTATTCCAACTAACAATATTATGCACATATTGGATACAGTTAATATGATTTGGTCAACTGGCTCAATAGAAAATGCACCATCATATAGACATGGATACACTTCTACTATGTTATCTAATGGTTTAATTGTATATATTGGAGGATGCAATGATTCTGAATGTATACCAACAAATCTGGTATTGATTATTTTGTTTAATGTTGAATTTTGTATCTTTTAATTTTTTACTAGTTAATAATTTGATTATTTTTTTTAGATAAATGTTTATGATACAAAAATTAATAAATGGTCTTTATTTGTAAGTTATTAAGAAAAAAATTATTTTGTTGTTGAGAAACAAATATTAATTAATTGTTGATATTGGTATTGATATTAGAGCACTAGAGGTCAAGATATTGGTTTTCGTGAATATCATTCTGCAGTCTTGGGTGAGAATTTCATGACTTTTTAAAAAATACATTAATATTATATATTTATATATTGACAATTAATATTAAATATAGGACCAAATGATTCTATAATTATATTTGGTGGTTATAATTATCATAATCATGATCATCATAAATTTCCATATCCTCATTTAGCAGTATTAAATACTGCACATGCCTCTTGTGAATGGTCAACACCAAAAATTTCAAAAAATGCTGATACACCCCCATTGCTTTATGGACACAGTGCAACCTCAATTGACAAATATATGATAGTTGCATTTGGTATATTAACAATATATTCATATATTATTTATGGATTTAATTTATATTTAAACTTGGTTAAATTAATATATCTTTATATTTAAATTATTTAGGTTATATAAGTTCTAAAATCAAAACTAAAAAATACAATAAACATTTATATATTTTTGACATGGAATCTTATAGCTGGGTTGATAAATTTATTGTGTCAGAATCACTACCAAAACAACCATCACATTTTCCTGTTAATCCTTATTATAACAAATTCATTAATCTTTTTGTCATTAGATCTGTGGCAATTTTAACTTTAGTTGTTGGACATATTTATATGAAGTCAATAAATAATTAGTTGTATAATTAATTAGATTATAATATTATAATATTAAGATAATAAATAATTTATTGTGAAGCTCAATCATGTGACTTGATTGATTTAATTTACATTGGTGTTTTGAGAAGGGAAGAAAATTAAGAATCCCAGAAATGGTTCCTTTTCCAAGTATTGTGGCAAAACTTGATGTTATTGGAGTTTTAGGATTGCATGTGAAATGTACTTGGAGTTATGAGAAAAATAAAAATATATTGCTTATGCTTCTTGAAGAAGTATTTGTTCATGATCCTTTGATATTAGATTTGTGATACCATTTATTTATAAATTTTTTAGGAAAATAAATATTTTAGGGGTTTAGTATCTTTTTAATCATTAAATGTCTATATAAATTTATTATGTCTATATAAATTTATTAAGTGATGGTTGTAGTACTTGAGTAACAGGGTGAATATCAGCAAATAAACGATTTGGCAAACTTTGGTTTTTCTTTGCTTGTGCTGCCAATAATCTTTCTAATAAATACAAATAAATAAAAATGGATTAATGTATGTTTGGATGTATATGTGTTTGTGTATATATTTTAATAATAATTATAGTTACCAGCTGCACTCCCATGACGTTCGCCTTTACCATCCTTTTTGAATGCATATGAAACAGTAATTGGTTTATTCATCAAATATTGGCCATTCATAGCATCAAT